CAGATGCTCCCAGCTAAAAGAATTGAGACTGGCCACTACGACCGTGAGAAAACATTCCTTCAAAAATTTCAACTTTCTAGCCTTTCGGGTTCCCGAGTTAGCAGCTTACCCGTGGAAAACATTGACGAGCCCGTACGTGGAAACAGTGTGGGTAAGAGCGCCCATTTGGGATTGGAGCCCGTACACGCATGTACATTAAATTCCCAGAGTTTCAACCTTGTAGCGTCTTGAGATGGAAAATCGGTACAGACGAACACACAGACACCCACACACACACAGACAACCCCTCGACAATATGCGTTTTTGCATTGCATAAATTAAAAAAAAAACGCATGAAAATTATCCAGATTCATCAATGACATGAACTGGCTTGTACTTGAACAGGAAACACTCACTCAAAATTTCAGCTTTCCAGCTTTTCTGGTTATCGAGTTAGCAGTTTTCCCGCAAAAACCTTCACATACCCGTACTTGGGTACTCCACGTGCTTGGAAAGCTGAAATTATGACTGTTTGAAAAAAAAAAAAAATCATTTGTTCTTGCCCTTACTACTACTCCAATTTGCGTCCACGCCAACAGAATCAACATTTCAGGTAATTTTCACAACGAACGTTGCGGAGACATCGATAACAATACCAGGTGTCCGGTATATTGTGGATTGTGGTTTGGCTAAAGTAAGTTACACTTTCAACTTTTCCAATTTTTTTTAAAAAATTATCATAGATTCTCTGTTGTTTCTAGTTTTCGTGTTTCTCCTTTGTACTGTAGAGAGCGAAGTATCTCCTAGAAGTGGCATTTTTGTAGTATTACGTGATTTTTTTTTTTTTTGAAAATGTTTATGTTACATTTATTGATGAAATGGGGTATTTATATGTCCCATGCGTTTGACTGAAGAAAAAAAAAAGTCTGGTTTTGCAAGTGGTTTTGCAAGTGAAAGTCGAATTTTTTTTTCAGGTGAAAAAGTTTGATGCTGTTCGGCGGATCAGTGTCGTGGATCTGGATTTGATCACCAAAGTTTCAGCAGAACAGCGAGCTGGAAGAGCCGGAAGGACAGCACCGGGTTTGTTGAACATTATGAGTTAGAATTTAAGAATAATACAAAGGCCTTTGTATATGTCTGATTTTTAGTTTTCTATCATTTTGGGGTCGGATTTGTCGAAAAAATCATGATTATTAAATAACCTCATTTCTTATTACTGTTTATTGTTATTACTATTATTATTATTATTATCGTTATTATCATTATTGTTATTATTATTGTTTTTATTGTTATTATTATTATCACTGTTGTTATTACCATTATTGTTATTATTGTTATTGTTATCATTATTGTTATTATTGTCATCATTATTATCATTATTATTGTAGTTATTATTATCATCATTATTACTATTATCGTTATTATTATCATCATTATCATTATTATTATTGTTATTATTATTAT